CGGGTCAGCAAGAGCAGGAAGAGAGGACTCCGGAGGAGAAGGCAAAGGGGCACGCAGCAGAGCAGTGGAAGGACGCAGAGACATCCGGTGCGTGCCGGGGACAGCGGAGGACGCTAACGCGAACCACGACCATTTGTGCGAGCAGCACGGACAGGCGACGCAGGACGAGACGCGGGCTCACGACGCTCCGTAAGACCTCCAGTAGGACCAATGTAGGGAGAGGGAGCAGGCAGTGGGGAGGCTGGCTGTAACTGGGACTCGGACTAGACAGGCGGCGGACACTCTAAAAGAGGAGCACGACCAAGAGAGGACGGGAGACCAAGAACCTGCTCAAGGAGCGGAACGAAGTATGGCCTCGGCCGTGCAGTGCCCCCATAACCAGCAAGAACAGCACCAGTACCCCCAACGGCAGCACTAGCGCAAGTAGCACCCCCAAATCCAGCAGCGCCAACTCCAGCACCCTCAGAGTTACTAGCGCCGGCAGCACCTCCAGTGCCACTCGAACCACCAGAAGACGGAGCAGCTCTAGCTCCAGCACCTCCAGTAGCACCTACTCCAGCAGCACCACTAGCTCCAGCACCAGGAGCACCCGCAGGCCCAGCAGCTCCAGAACCCCCGGTACAAGCACCTCCTGGACCAGTGGCACCAGCACCCTCAGCAGCAGTAGAACCGTCAACACCAGCAGTACCTCCATCTCCAGCAGCACGGCTCCAGCGCCGAGCAAACCACTCGCGCAGCTCGTGTGGAGAGAGCAGCTCCCTCCAGGACGAAGCACCCGAAGGACCTCCAGGCCTAGTACCGCCAGACGCCACACGAGCAGGCCCAGCACCCTCAGGCTCCGCACCCCCAGGCTCCGCACCCCTAGTCTCAGCACCCCAAGTCTCAGCACTCCCAGGCTCAGCAACCCCAGAGTCAGCACCCCCAAGCTCAGCACCCCCAGACCCCACACCCGTAGGCTCAGCACCCCTAGACCCCGCACCCGCAGGCTCAGCACCCCAAGAACCCGCACCCGCAGGCTCAGCACCCCTAGCAGCACCAGAGTCAACAGCTACCTCGACAGGCTCGACTGCATCTACCAGGGACACACCTGAGGGGGCAGGACCCTGAGGGGGAAGGGGGTCTACCGAGGGGGGACCTGGCACGGGGAAGAGCGGCGGCGGGGGGAGGGAGGCAGTGCGGTAGGGGAAGAGACGGTAGTACGGAACCGACTCTTCAAACGTGACGTCCTGGGAGGACAGAACACGTCGCGAGGTGGGGTGGCAGAACTGCCAACCTGGCGCGTCACGGGGGAAGCCAAGGAAGACACAGGGAACAGCACGGGGGGACAGCTTGTCCGCAGACAAGTCGCGGACAAACGCCCGAGATCCTGAGACACGGAACGCAGACGCATCGCCAACCTTCCCGGTCCACCGAAAAGCAGGGGAGGTTTCCGGCATGGAGACCCGGGGCTGAAGGTTTCCGCCGCGTACCGAACCGCAAACGGCCACAGAAAATGGGGGGCAACCGCATGGACCATGGACGTATGAGCGACGTCCATGACCATGCCAATGCGGCGCTCAGCAATCCCATTTAGCTGTGGAGAGGCCGGAAGCGTGAAGATCTGGCGGATGCCCTGTGCACGACAGAAGGCACGCAGAAGGTCAGAGGAAAACTCACCGCCTCTTTCAGAGTGCAGACGCAGAACAGGAAAGTCTGAGCCGAAACTCTCTCTGAGCTGGAGACGAGCAGCGCGGATCCAGCCAATCAACACCTCAGTGACCTCACCCTTGCTGCGCAAGGGGAAGACTGTGGTGTAACGCGAGTAGTCGTCAACCACCAGCAGGAAGTAACGCTCGTGGCCCTGTCCACGGACGCGGGCTGGGCCCCACACGTCCATGTGAAGCGTCTGCAGCAGAGCCTCTGTCGGAGGAAACTCTGAGGAGTGAGGAGCAGCACGCTGCCTCCCCTCGAAGCAGGGAACGCAGGTAGGGGCAGGCCCCGGAGGAAGAGGAGGGAGGGACCGGGGGAGACCAGAGACAAGGACACGGGATGCCATGCCTCAGAGATGAGGCAGCGAGGGGTGACCAAGGCGGTGGTGCCAGAGGAGTGTCTGGTGAGATAGGAGACGACACGAGCAGGGGGCAGACGCTGGACCAGACCTGGACGACGTAGCAGACACCTGACCTGACGCAGCTACCTGACCAGACGCAGAGACCGGAGGAGACTCAGTAGTTAGTGTGTACAGGCTCGACCACGGTTGACGGGTAAACGTGGCCAAGTGTCGGCCTGTCCGAGCACACGTGCAGTGGGTCACTCGCTGACTCGCAGGAGTGAACTAGTCAACCCCCCCATCCTGTAGGTCAACACCACTCACCAAGTTCGTAGAGAACGAGGGGAGGTAGAGACATGACAGGGTGCCATAAGGGGCCGCTGGACATGGTAAGACAGTGGAGAAGTGGGCAAGGACAGGACCCCCAGAGGGGTCTGCCAGGGAGACCGCAACTAGCCGACTAAGCGGCGTGAGTGTGGTGCGGTCTCGAAAGAAGGAATGGGAAGCAGCCGAGTCAAGGGTGTGGGAGGCCTGAGCTGACGTGGTACCTGAGAGAGCAGACTCACCAGCACCTGGGGCGGCAGACTCACTAGCACCTAGAGCAGCAGCCTCACCAGCACCTAGAGCAGCAGCCTCACCAGCACCTAGAGCAGCAGTCTCAATGCCTGGGTCAGGCGGAACACACAGGTAATAGTCACCCTCATCACTAGTAGGCAATGCATTCATGGCAGTGAGGATAGCATCATAGTCAAGAGTAGAGATATCTACCCTCATCCTAAGCAGCTCCACCCAGTCGGGGAGCTCAGCCGCGTCACCAAACTCCGTACGCCAGGCGTCGCTCAGACGGGCGAAGCAGCGGGACTCTGCGTGACCAAACGTCCTGCAAGGCTGACCAGTCCGAGCACCAGTGCGAATGACATACGGACAGCGAGCAGTACAGCGTGACCCGTCACGCTGAGCGTACCACTAACGAAGCTGCTGGGGTGAAAGGACCGCGCACGGACGACGTTGCAGCTGCATCTGGCCACTACATGCAGCTGTCAAACTACTCACTCCAAGACGACTCCCACTACAGCCACTCCGACAACCCCAAGTCGCGTACCACTCACGAAGCTGCTGGGGCGTGAGGGGCTCACGCGGACGTCGCTGAAGCTGCATCTAGCCACTGCCAGGAGCAGCACGAGCAGTGGTAGCCGCAGTAGTAGCAGCAGTAGCAATAGCAGTAGTCGCAGCACGGCCACCCCTACGAACCCAACTAGCGTTCCACTCACGAAGCGGTTGGGGGGCGAGGGACTCACGCGGACGGTGCTGGAGCTGCATCTGGCCACGCCAGGAGTAGCAGTAGCAGTAGAAAGAGCAGTAGCAGCAAGAGCAGCAGTAACAACAGTACGGGCGGGGCAGTGCTCACCAGTGGCGAGAAGGGCAGGCGTACGACGCCGGCAATGGCGAGGCTGCGACCACTGTAGGGCGAGGGCTCCGCGGCAGCTGCAGGGGCGGCTGCTCCAGGGGCGGCTGCTGCAGAGGCGGCTGCTGCAAGGGCTGCTGCTCCAGGGGCGGCTGCTCCAGGGGCGGCGGCTGCATTGGCGGCTGCTCCAGTTGCGGCTGCTGCAGGGGCAGCTGCTCCAGGGGCAGCTGCTGAAGGGGTGGCTGCTCCGGAGGCGGCTGCTTCAGTGGCGGCCGCTCCAGGGGTGGCTGCTTCAGGGGCAGCTACTCCAGGGGCGGCTGCTGCAGGGGCGGCTGCTCCAGGGGCGGCTGCTGCAGGGGTGACTGCTGCAGGGGCGGCTGCTGCAGGGGCGGCTGCTCCAGGGGCGGCTGCTGCAGGGGTGGCTGCTCCGGGGTTGGCTGCTGCAGTGGCGGCTGCTCCAGGGGCTGCTGCTGCAGGGGCGGCTGCTCCAGGGGCGGCGTTCACGACTCTGGCGTTCGCTTTCGCGAGCGCAGCGAAGAGCGACTCTGGTGGTGGGAATATCGCCTCACGTGCTTGTCGCGCCATCATGAAGCTGTGGACGGAAATCGCCAGGAGTAGCTGCTTTCGCTATAGGGTGCGATTGGAAAATTGCGCGCGACTATGGCAAAAGTTGGAACTACGAGCGGAGGCTGCAGAACGGTCTTGCTGTTTGCATGCGACATTTCAACTTAGAGCGTGGAACATCCTTTTGAACAAGGGGTTGGTCGCCCAATTGCGACAGCAACCACTGTTGTGACCATCGCCATTGACCTACGAAACAGAGTGATGAAAACTGCAGGATGCACGCACGTTCCACAGCCCATGCGTGTTGGTCGCCCCACTTTTGGACCTCGCAGATAGGACAAGAAGTGGCGACGTCAGGAGAAACACGCGACAAGCAACCGGGTGTAATTGTGAGTGACGTGCTGCAATCCAACTCGCAGAAAGGTGTTTGACGAAGTCGGCACCTTTCGTATAGCATTGCGACTCTGTATTTCTGGGCGACCAAGTGTTTCCGACTTGCAATGTGGGGTTTTGCAAGTTACCTGGCGAAAACCGTTGCAAACATTTGACGAGAGAAATGTCCGACCAAAGAGGCGACCAAACAGTTGTTCAAAAGGATGTTCAACGCTCTAATATTGCATCAAAAGAGGAGAACCTAGAGAAATTGTGCCAAATTTTAAAACCCAGGGTGCACAGGTTTCAAAGTTAGGAAGGCTGGTTGGGAAGAAGATTACAATTGGATGGCGAGTAGCTGGATTCCCGAAAACGCTGAACGTTGTTCGCCCTTTTTTGGGCGACATCATTGTTACCACAATTGCCATGCGACACAATTGCCAAATTTGAAACATCGCCAAACACCCTCTGCGACCTTTTCCCATTGCCTGCCGAGTTCAGTGATGGCTTGGTGCAAGCAAGAAGAACGTTGTGAGTTGACTACACCGCCGAATATATTGACCTAGAAATAGTACAACATACTCAGGAATCATTGGTAGCAATCATCCACCAGCAGAGAGAAATCTATGCTTAGGGATGACGGGCCGAGAGCATAGTGGTTTGAGTGCAGGCGTCGCCGCCGAAACCGCCGATTACGCGGAGCTCTCCGCGGAAGTCGAGACTGAGTAGGGGGGAAAGCGAGCGGGAATCGCTCAAGAGGGACTTCATGGCCTGGTTCTTGAGGGCACAGAAGTGCAAGTGAGGGGCAGGTTAGTGTAATGAGGTGTGGGGGGGAGAGAATGAGGAGCAGGGAGGGAGAATGAGGGGTGGGGAAAGAGAATGAGGGGCAGGGAAGGAGAATGAGGAGTGGGGAAAAGAGAATGAGGGGCAGGGAAGGAGAATGAGGGGTGGGGAAAGAGAATGAGGTGCAGGGATGGATGATGCGGGGTGGGGAAAAGAGAATGAGGGGCAGGGAAGGAAAATGAGGAGTGGGGAAAAGAGAATGAGGGGCAGGGAAGGAGAATGAGGAGTGGGAAGAGAGAATGAGGTGCAGGAATGGATGATGAGGCGCAAACAACGAGAATGAGGGGCAGGGAGGGAGAATTAGGGGTGGGAGAAGGGAATGAGGTACAGGAAGGGATGATGCGGTGCACACCGTGAGTATGAAAGGCAGGGAGGGAGATTGGGGGGGTGGGGGAAAGGGGATGAGGAGCGAGGTGAGAGGATGAGGCGCAAACCCCGAGAATGAAAGGAAGGGAGGGAGAATGAGGGATGGGGGAAAGGGAATAAGGTGCAGGTGAGATGTCCGAGGCGCAAACCCTGAGAATGAAAGGCTGGGAGGGAGAAAGAGGGGTGGGGGAAAGGGAATGAGGAGCAGGAAGGGAGAATGAGGGGCAAACCCCGAGAATAGGACGGGAGGAAGATAGAGGGGTTGGGGAAAGGGAATGAGGTGCAAGGTGAGAGGATGAGGCGCAAACCGTGAGAATGAAAGGCAGGGAGGAAGACTGAGGGGTGGGGGAAAGGGAATGAGGAGAAAGGTGAGAGGATGAGGCGCAAACCGTGAGAATGAAAGGCAGGGAGGGAGACTGAGGGGTGGGGGAAAGGGAATGAGGAGCAAGGTGAGAGGATGAGGCGCAAACCCTGAGAATGAAAGGCAGGGAGGGAGAATGAAGGGTGGGGGAAAGGGAATGAGGAGCAGGAAGGGAGAATGAGGGGCAAAACCCGAGAATAGGATGGGAGGAAGATAGAGGGGTTGGGGAAAGGGAATGAGGTGCAGGGAGGGATGATGAGGCGCAGCCACCGAGAATGAAAGCAAGGGAGGGAGATTGAGTGGTGGGTGAAATAGAACGAGGTTCAGGGACGGATGATGAGGAGCACATACCGAGAATGAAAAGCAGGGAGGGAGAGGGATAAGGTGGGGGAGGGAAGATGGGGGGCATGGAGGGAGGATGAGGCGCGAACCCCGAGAATGAGAGGAAGGGAGAAAAGGCCATGGGTTTGACCTACGACTAACCTTTAGGCTGTCACAGAAGTGATATTTCAGAAGCGCCTTCCCCACGATCCGGCACTCGCCACTTTGCCATGATCGGTCTGTGTTGACAGCCTTGGTCGCCACATATTTGTATAAGTCCCGAAGGCTTTTCCAGCCGCAAACCTTGCCAAATTGACCGCCGCTTTTGTTGAGAATCCACAGCAACGCCGTTACAGCCCGTTGAGACAACTTCTCGGTTAAAGCCCATCGAGATAGCTCATCTTCAAATGAGAACGGCGTTGGAGGACTAGGCTCCACATCCGTCCCGAGCGCGAAGGCCCCTCAGGCTTCGCAGCAAGTTCATGAGAAGGAGATGGCGGTTCTTCTGTGTCTGAGCGATCCTCGCACACGGGCCTATCATCGTCGATTGGAGCTCGTGGACTCATAGGTTCATCGAATGTTTGAGGCAAAAAAGGGTCCTCCCGGGCCATTGGTCGAAAAGTGCTCGGAAGACGTGTGGCGTTTGCATCGTTCCCCTCACCATCGCTGGCGGGTCTGCACGCCGCATTGCTGGCTTGCGTCAGCCTGCATTGGTTGCTCCCGAAGTGTCGTTCAAGCTCTCCTCCACCTACAAATGGGCCTGAACGGCATGCTCTGCCATGATCCGGAGGTAAGTCGTCCATGACAAAACTAAGCCGTTCCTACGACTACGACACAAAATTTGGCTCTGGAATGGACTAATCTGAGTTGCTGCGATGTCTTGCTAATCTGTGCGTTGCTAATCTAAGTTGAATGTAAGTTGGTGATGAATAAACTGAGTTTTTGTGCTTTGGTGTTCTTAGATCGCACTACGTTGAAGGTATTGATGTGCAAGACCACTGAACGAAACGAATTCACACTTCTGGTGTTAGGACGGGTCCATCACTCACATGATTGCACAAAACCCTATCCAACCATCTGTTGTTGGTTTTACAACGCACGGTTGTTTGAATTTACCGTTCGCAACCGCATTCCTATGTACAATTTGGAGCCGAGCTGTGTGAGGAAATGCACGCCTCGATGTCTAATGTGTTGAAATCGTGAATTTGGAGATTGACGCGACCCGATAACGTAACTGTTTGATTTTCGCCGCCCTTTCCGATTGGCTGCCGTTCCGTCGCGACCAACGGGAAGTCCTCGCTGGCTAGCGAGCCCCCTTGGCGAATTTGTCAACGAGTCAATAGAAGTCATTCAGAAGTCTGCAAAATCGAGTCGCGCCAAAATCCAACCGCCGACAACGCAATCAGCAGTACCGCAATAGGCGCGTCGCCAGACAATTTTGGAACGGTTAGAAATGCCAATTTAACTGCCTGCACTTAAAACGTCATTAAAAGCCAGCTGGCGAGCGCATTTTAGCAAATGAAATAATACTGTTCCTCCTCAGTGTGAAACCTAAACGGCCATATCGGTACACGAATCGCGTGCCAATTACAGAAAATCTCAACGTTTAAAGTTTTGAATGTCTTAACCATAAGAGAAACGCAGGACAAAAAACAGAGTGAATAACAAATACAAGATATATAGCAGTTCTCCTCTAATGGAGCAGCTAATATGAAACGTAACTTACACGATCGCAACCGTTGAAACAATGCTACAGAGAATTGAGATACCCCCTCTACATCCCCAGGTCGTTTACGTGCTCCAGGCAGATTCGAGCCGAATTGTTTCCCTCCGAGCAACTAACACCGTCGATCCGAGAGGATCTAACGTCCAGCAACATTCCTGATATCACATCCCCCAGGTCGTTTACGTGCTCCTTGCGACAATGCCCCACGCAGTGCGGCGCGACATTCTTCATGAATCACATTCGCGATCCTGACTGATGCACAAATCACTTGGAATTTCGTCCGTCGATCAAGCGTTTGCAAATCCCACGAAGCAGCCGAACACATTCTCTTCAGCACGGAATTGCGACAATAGGGTTGAAATGAGTCGCAAAATTGCCAAGTTGCCCTCACAAACTGCCAATGTAAACAACACTGTATGACGCTCGAAAACCATCGACAAAAGAGCCTCAGTGGACTAGAGCATTTACAACAGGCTCAAGATTTTTGCAATGGGCATTTCGCGTGGGAAGGGAGAACGTGAAATGGGGGAGAGTTCACCATAGCCCTTTTATGCGGCCCGGCTCCCCCTTTACGCCCCCCGATTCCCCATTCCCGTCGCCTCATGCCCCTCCCCGCCACCCGGTTTCCCTTTCCCGCTGCCACGAACCCCCAGTCACGCTGCCTGGCAATTCCCCTTCCCGCCGCTCGACTCCCTGGTCTCACCGCCCGATTCCTCTTTCCCGCTGGCCGCGTTCCATCTACCGTCGCCCTACTCCCTTCCCGTCACCCGATTCACGTTCCCGCCGCCCGATTCCCCTATCCAACCGCCCGAATCCCCTTCCGCGCCGCCTGAATCCCCTTTCCCGCCCATTGATTCCGGGCGGGCCGCCCGACCGCCCCTTCCCGCCGCCCAATTCCCCTTTCGCGCCGCCAAATTCGCGTTCCCGCCGCCCGCTTCGCCAATCCCGCCGCCCGATGCGCCCTCCCGCCGCCCGATTCCCTTTTCTCGCCGCCAGACATGCCTTCCCGCCTCCCTAATCCCTTTTCCGTCACCCAACTACCCTTCCCTCCCGTCTCTCCCTTCTCCCCCTAAGAAAATGAGAACGAGAATGAACTGACTATGAATGAAGTGAGTACATATAGGAAACCCTAATTGGGTTCTACCCCCTATGGGATACCCCTCTATAGCCTACACAAATAAGTAAGCTATAATGTTCTGACACACCCCCATACGCAAAGTGGGGAAGAACAAGGGGTCACAAGACCAGTGAAGCAAAGCAAGGCAAAGCTCAGGGTGGATCACAAAGTCACCACACATTCCGAGCACAAGTTCAAAGGCCAAAAGGCCAGTTCACATGCAAGAGCACATATATATATAGAAGAGGCTAAGCAAGCAAGAGCAGGAGTATATATATGTGACAGTACAAGCAAGATCAAGAAGTGAGCAAGTGAGGCAAGACAGGCACAAGACCCAGCTGAGTGCATAAGCGCTGATGATCACAAGGCGCAAGTGCCTTGGTGAAGACATCAGCAATGTTGGCCTCAGAGGCCACGTACGCAAGCCGCAACTGTCCACGCTGCTGTAGCTCACGAGCAAGAAAGTAGCGGAGAGCAATGTGCTTTGTCCTGTGCTCCAGTCGCTGCTCTCGACACAAGGCCAGCATGGCCTTGTTGTCTACGTACAGGACTGGAGGAGAACGAGGCGGCTCTCCAAGGTCGATCAGCAAGTAGGTGAGCCAGCGAAGCTCCTGGGCAGCCATAGCCCCGGCGTAGATCTCAGCCTCACAACTAGAGCCGAGAACAGAAGACGAGCGGGTAGCCCGCCACGTAACAGAGCCGGAACCAAGACTGAAAGTGTAACCCTGTGACGACCGCTGCGTAGCCTGGTCGTCAGCCCAAGAAGCGTCCGCGTGCCCAATGAGGACCACTGGACTCCGCCCTCCAAGCACTAGCCCCATGCCCGACGTACTGCACAAGTAGCGCAACACCCTCTTCGCTGCAGCCATGTGCTCGGGTCGGTGTCTCCCAGGAGCAACATAGCGTGTGAGAATGCTAAGAGGGTATACAAGGTCAGGTCGAGTGCAGGTCATCAGGTACAAGAGGCAGCCAACAAGCTCAGGATACGGGCCACTCGACTCTACGGACTCATCCGAAGGCAGAGCTGAGAGCGAGTGGCGAGTAGGCAGAGGAGTGGCCTGAGGCGAGGAGTACGTGAAGCCGAAGCGCTGAAGGACCTGCTGCACCATGTGTGACTGAATCAGGGTAATGGTGCGGCGTGCTTTGTCCCGGGTGATCTGCAAGCCAAGGTAGCTGCGCAGTTCACCCAGGTCAGTGCACGTGTGTCTCTTGTGCAGCTCGGACTTCACGTAGGCGAGTCCAGCAGTGTCAGCAGTGGCAAAGACCAAGTCGTCGACGTACACGAGGATGTAGAACGGCGGCAAAGAGGTGTCGGTGCGCAGAAACAGCGACGGGTCGGCAGTAGAAGGAGCAAACCCAAGTGCCGCAAGCGTAGTCCTCAGTGTATCGTGCCACTCACGTGGCGCCTCGCGGAGACCGTAGACTGGACGCCGGAGACTCCACTGGGTACCAGGAGGGAAAGACCCAGTGAAGCCAGGTGGGCGGCGCAGCCAGATCTCCTCGTGCAGGCTGCCCTGCAAGAAAGCAGTGCTGAAGTCGAGAGAGTGCAGCTCGTAGTCACGGTGAGCAGCAACGTGCAGTAGTACCCGAAGAGTGGTCATCTTCGGGGTGGGAGAGAAGGTCTGAAAGTAGTCAACTCCCTGCCGCTGGCTGAAGCCACAAGCCACGTAACGTGCCTTGAAGACAGGCGGAGAACCCGGCGGCCGCTTCACCCTGAAAATCCACATGCCACTGAGGATGTTCGCCCTAGAAGGGGGGACAGCGTCAACGTAGGTGCCTGTGGACTTCCAGGAAGCCATCTCTGCATCCATAGCTGCCTGCCACTGAGAGGAGTAGGGACCCTCTATCGCCTCCGCGTAAGAGCGCGGAGTCGGGATGTCAAGTGCATCCGGGTCTCCCTCAGGGGTGAGCAGTAGGAACACGAGATGAGGTGAAGCGGCGGCCAGACACTGGAACTCCTCCTGCCTGTCCTCAAGGACGTCCGTGCCAAGGGCACACTCACCCCCGACGGACGGAGGACAGGCAGACTCAGACTCAGCGACAAGACTAGCAGCGTAGTCTAGACGATAGCGAGCAGCAAAGTCGACGAGCTCAGTAATAAGGGCAGACGCAGCAATAGACTTGAAAGAAGGGTCACTGACGGCAGTAGCAAGGAGACGCGTGACAGTAGGACTGACAGCACGAAGAGAGTCCGACTCCGGGTCGGCAAGAGCAGGAAGAGAGGACGCAGGAGGAGAAGGCAAAGGGGCACGCAAAGGAGCAGTAGACGGACGCAGAGACATCCGGTGCGTGCCAGGGACAGGAGGAGGACGCTGACACGAACCGCGACCACTAGCGCGCGCAGTACGAACAGGCGACGCAGGACAAGACGCAGGCTCACGACGCTCAGTAAGACCTCCAGTAGGACCAGCGTAGGGAAAAGGAGCAGGCAAAGGGGAGGCAGGCTGTAGCTGTGATTGTGACTGGACAGGCTGTGGACCCTCTAAGGGAGGAGGAGGAGGACCAGGAGAAGGTGTAAGACCAAGAACCTGCAGCAGGAGTGGAACGAAGTACGGTCGGGGCCGCGTGGCGACGCGAGAAACAGCAAGGACAGTTTCAGTACCCCCAGCAGGAGAACCCGCTCCAGCAGCACCTCCAGCAGCACCTCCAGTAGCTCCAGAATCCCCAGCAGCACCTCCAGCAGCCCGTGAACCTCCAGCAGCAGCAGGAGCACCGCCAGCCGGACGGCCAGTGGTAGTCCCAGCGCCAACACCCTCAGCAGCACCAGCTCCAGTCGAACCCGCAGGCCCAGCAGCTCCAGTACTCCCAGTACGAGCACCTCCGGGACCCGCGACAGCAGCACCGT